GCCACGTTTGTCTACAGCCCCGGCATTGAGGGGCACAGACAGGCAGTGCTGGGAGCTCACTGGCCAGTCAGCCGAGCTAAATCAGTGAGCTTCCTGTCAGTGAAAGACCCGTCATAAGGGAACAAAGCAGAGAAAGACAGATCAGGACACTCAACGTCCTCCCCTGACCTCCTCAAGCGCTCACAGGTGTGTGAAGCTGCCCATTTACACACACACACACACACACACACATACACACACACACCCCACCTCTCCGCCCTCCCAACAAGTCTTACACTGTCCTCTTTCTTTTGTGACCAACGGTCCAGGGCTGCCTGAATGGGCACGTGTGTGGAGCTATCCACTGGAGTATGGACAACTCACTGTTGGATATGCCACTGAAGACAGCATTACAAACTGTCAATAGCTTCCTGGGGAAAGGCCAGACCCTGTAGACCTCTCCCCGATCCACAGCTGAATACTGACTGGTTTCAGTCTTGTTAGGCTCTGTGTAGGCAACTACAGAAGCCATGAGTTAGTTCATGAGTGCAGCAGCCGTATCACGCCCAGGAGACAGCATCTTATGAACTTCCGTCTTATCATTTGGCACTTAAATTCCCTCTCCTGTGATATTCCCTCTGTTGTGATACTCCCTGGCCTCAGAGGGATGTTACAGATGTCCCTTCAATCTCTGCATTAACCACGGTTTGCTGCAAGAAACTGCAATAAGTCACAGGGCAACACTAGTCTATGGCTGTAAGCATCCATACTCAGAAAGGAACTTGACAGCACATCCATTGAGTAAAACAAGCAGTAAGTTCATCCCCAGAGCCCGTGACCTTTCCACTCATGGAATTTGACCAGGTCCTCAGTATTAGTCATGAAACATTTCCTGTGGCCTGAACTGCAGATCCAATCAGAACATAGCTGGTTACCTTCATAACAGTAATAACATTGTGGTTTTGTAAGACTCCCCACTTTCCACCTGAGACAGGGTTCCTCTGTGTAACAGCTCTGGATGTCCTGGAACTTGCTTTGTAGATCAGGTTGGCCTTGAACTCACAGAGATCTGCTCGCCTCTGTCTCCTGAGTGCTGGGATTAAAGGCTAACCCTGGTAAGCCTATTGATGGCTCTTCTCCAGCTGTTTGTATGGCAACTTCCATCACTATAAAAGTTACCTCGCTCAATTCCATCCCATTCCTATGTCCTGTATCAAAAGTACATGGTGTCTCAGTAGGAAGATCTTACCTTCTGGTTTTAGTGGGCAACCAGGAGCAATGGCCATCACTTGCATTGTTTCAGAGACCACTGGTGCGTTCCTGGCCAACAATGTCTAGGGAAGCATCCTACCCTTGGCATTTGTGTTTTGTTGAATAGCTCATGCCTTCTGGATTGCATAATCCACCCACACAGGACACTTCCATTTAAATTTTACAAACTTTTATTTTTGAAATAATATAATTACAACAGCTCTCCCTTTCTTCCTTCAAAATTTTCCCATATACTCCCCTGGTAGCCTTCAAATTCATTGTCTTTTTTTTCCCTCACTAATTGCTATTGTATACGTGTGTGTGTGTGTGTGTGTGTGTGTGTGTGTGTGTGTGTGTGTATATATTCCTATAGATAACCTTCTCAGTTCATATAATATTACTTGTGTTTTCAGGGCTGACCATTTGGCACTGGCCACCGATGGGTGTGTTCTTCCCTGGGGGGGGCACTTTTTCCAATCCCAGCTTTCGTTAGTTGCCTGTATAGTTCTTCCTGTAGGGTTGTTCATGGTTCTCCCAGCAGGTAGAGCGGGGGGGGGCAGGGCCGGAAACAGTCGATCCAGCCGGGCTCTTCCTGGGCTGAGCAGGATGGTGAGTGTGTCGACCCTCCCCCATTAGTTACCGGGGAGAAAAAATACACACTGAGTCGGGAGTCTGTCGAAGCAGGATCTCGATTTATTCCAACAGGCAGGAACTTACATAGGGCTGAGGTAGGGGATGGGAATCTTAGGTGACGAGTTAAGGGCCAAGTATTCTACCAAGCAGGCAGGTAGCTAGACAGGGGGCAACCTTACATTGGGTCTAGCTGAGTCACCCCCACATGGAGGTTACAGGTTAGAGACAGGTCGCCAAACTCTAGCCAGGCTCAGGAGCTTACACTGGGCCTCGCATCCTAGCCTTTCTTAGGCCCAACAGGGGTGAGGCCTCGTGGGCATGTTCATGGCGTCTTCCTTGGCCAGCTGTGTTTAGGCTGTCGTGTTGGTGAGTCTTTATGGATATGGCCTCCTATATTACCAGGAGACACAATGTCACAGCAGACTCTTAGACCCCTGTCCCTTACAGTCTTTCCAGCCTCCTCTTCCATGATATTTCCTGAGTCTTTTTTTTTTTTTTTTTGGTTTTTCGAGACAGGGTTTCTCTGTGGCTTTGGAGGCTGTCCTGGAACTTGGTAGTCCAGGCTGGTCTCGAACTCACAGAGATCCGCCTGCCTCTGCCTCCCAAGTGCTGGGATTAAAGGCATGCGCCACCACCGCCCGGCTTCCTGAGTCTTAAGTGCAGGAGTGTTTTGTAGATGTGTCCATTGGGACTAGGCCCCCATAACTCTGCATTTTGATGGGTGTGGCTTTCTGTAGTTGCAAAGAGAACTTTCCTTGATGAGGGTGAAGACTACTTACCTTTGGGTATAAGGACAAATGTTTACTTAGTTGTTAGGGGTTATGCTGGGTGAGTAAGTTAGTGGTGGTAGGTTCTCCTCTGGTAGCCATGACCTCACTAGAGCTGAAGTTAGCTAGGTTTTCCAGTACCTGGTCCAGTTTTCCCCTTGGTGAGTGGGTGCAAGGTCCAATTAGAGAGGGTTGGTTACATCCAAGGCATGTGTGTTACTACTTCAGCCCTTTTTAAAGACATTATATTTTAATCATCCTCAAGCAATGTGTTTTCATTTCTTGTCTGCTTTGTCACCGGCAATAGCTACAACTATGACTCCAGCTATGTGACTCGGTCTTTCTCCACGGTTCTCTCTTACACGGGTCTATAACCACCTATTTGTTCCCTCAGCTTTGACAGTAACAATGGCTCTCCTGTTGCTAATCTCTGCTGATACCCTTGAATATTCTTTCAACTCCGCCCACATGTGCCCCAGAAGTCCCTTTGATGTAGGATCTTCAGTTGACTGATCTATGATGAGCAAGGATTCTTTGCAGGATTCCTTATTTAAAGATAGGCTCTCATGTAGCTCAGGCTGGCTTTCAACTTGCTGTGTAGCCAAGGCTTGTCTTGAACACTGTATCTTCCTGCCTCCACCTTCCAGATGCTGGGATCACAGGCATGCACTACCACACACGTAGCTTCTTGAGACTCTCAAAAGCCCGATACCATATCAGTGCCTCATATTGACATCTAAGTCACAATGTGGACATTAGCTCCCTACTTCACATCTATGGAAGCCAAGGCCCAGAGAGGCCAAGTGACATGTCCCCTTCACAGACTGTGAACCACCTGGCTTCCAGAAGTGTGCGAAGTGTCTAACAGCGATGGCTGCCCTTTGTACTTGCAGCGACTCTAGGCCCCTGTCCTTCCCTTTCTGTAATCAGAAGCGGCTTCCAAGCCAAGCCTTTCCATCCTTGGACAGGGTGGTAGTCTCCACACGCTCCAATTTTATGTGTATAAAACGTCAGTGTGTACTGTGGTCTGTCTCCAGTCACCAGCCTTGGTGATAACAGATGTGTGGTTAGTGGAAACACAGCCTTCACGCTTGCTGGGGTCAGTGCCATCAGGCAGGAAGCAGCTGCCTGGGGAGCTTCCTTCCTGTTCCGGGAGAGGGGTGAATAAGGAAGGACTACAGGCTTCATAACACAGTCTGTCACTCAGACAGGTTTCAGAGCCTTCTGGGTGGCTTTGATCCCCACGGTCAAAGCTTTGTCCACATCCATTCTAAGGAAACAGAGACGCAGGACGAGCAAGAAACTGGAGAAAACACGTAGGTCTATTAGTAAGGGATTGGTTGAATACGTAGGTCTATTAGTAAGGGATTGGTTGAATAAACCAAGGCTTGTTGTATAGCGATGTCTTCCTGAAGGGAAAATGGAGGTTCCTGTACCACCCTGCACTTTTAAGTATTTAAATTATATCTACATTACATATAATTCCATTTCATTCCCTCATGATGCAGTGGTAAGTGAAGAGTACACTTTCTTCTGCAACTCCATCAGTAAATAATAATTAATAATAGTTTCCCAATATCATCTCTATTCAGATTTCTCCATTTGCCTCCAAAAGTCTCTTACAGTTCATCTGTGCAAGCCAGACAAAAGACCATGCATCCCATCATAAAAACCTAACATTTATGCCCTATTCTTGGTGGGCTAATTTTATATGAGTTGCACAGATCTCTATCTCCTCGTTAATCTTCCCCTCCCTTCCTCGCTCTCCCTCTCCTCCCTCCTCTCCTGTCTTCCCGCCTCAGGATTTACTAATAACCTTGTGGTGTCCTAGGCTGGACACGGGGGATGTACACATGAGCAGACCCAGACCCCAGGGATGGCACAGGCCAGCGAGTGGAAACAGTTCGTCTGATGAATAATTATAAAGCAGGGCGTGAGCGTCCTGCCGGAGAGGAAGGCTAGGCACCCCGCGCCTGGGCAGCTTCTTACAAATGACCAGGAAAAGTCAGCTTGAGAACTCAGGCGGCACTACCAGTTACATAAGGCAGTTACCCTGGTCATGACGGACATCTGGAATTTCGTAGTTTCTTCATCCTTATGAAGCAACAGGAACTGAACATTAAAATCTCCATCCTCCAGCTGCTTAAGGTCTGGTTTTAGTCCTCTTCACAGTTCTTTGAAAGGCTCTGTCGCAGCCCACACCCCCCATGCTAGGCATCTCTCCATGGCCGGACGTGATTCTCAGAGCCCTCTGGAGTGCCTGGCTGGGAGTGTGTGGAGCGGGTTGGGGGGGTGTGGGGGGGTGTGCGGAGCACAGCCACACGGGGCAGCCTGTTTGGAATGTGCGTGTGTCCGTGTGCTGCGTTCAGTGTGGCAGTCTGTTCCCAGCCGTGACAATCACCTGGTGAGGGACCGCACTGCCGTGGCTAAGAGCCCCGGCTTTGGTTTCAGAGAAACCTGGCTTGAAATCCTGGCTCTGACACTCATTAGCTGTGTGGCTTGGGAAGATTCCTGAATCCGATCTTGAAGAACTCTGAAGTCTAAGCTTTAGTCCCCCTAATGTGGAAAATTATGCAATTTCCCCATGTGGAGGATCAAAACTGTAACGATCCATGGACATCCTTCCTTCCCAGAGCCCTAGCCATTCTTACACAATATGTGGTCACTGTCACACAAGGGAGTTGGAGGCACCATGCGAAACATCCCTCAAGCACATGTGGGTTGAGAAAAAGATCCCTTAGGGAGAGAGTCCCTCTGCTAAGGGCAGCTCAGCCTTTAGCTTGGTTCTGGTTCTGGTGTCTGGAAGGTTCACCACCTCTCTGGGGCAGAGGTTGCATCCGGGGGGCAGCTGTCTTCCCAAGCAGCTGGTTCTATGACCTCAAACAAAGGTCCTGTGTGTTCTTTCGCAGGCGCCGCTGTGGCTGTAGCTTGGCAGAGGAGCGATGCCGAATGATACGCTCCGGGTTTAGATAACTATTCCCCAACAGTCTGCTTTCGCCCCCCCACCCCATGTCGGCCCTTCTGTAATTACACTCTGTGGACTCGCGCTTCTCCAGAGTTCTCCAGGGGAGCCTGCCGACACTCGGCTCGTAAGCATGAGGGCTATGGCCCGGAAGTACACTCGGCCCCTGACTGTCCCGTGACATTCCTGCAAAGGCTTTGGTTGGGGTAGCGGTCGAGTGCTGGGATCTGCAGTCTCTGTTCATGCTAACCCTGACTCCCAGAACCGCCACATCTCAGAGGGGGAATGGCAGTTAAAGGGTCTAAACCCCTCCTTTACAAGAAAGGAGACAGAGGCGGAAGGGGGCAGAGTGAACTTCATTAGTGTTAAAGCAAGGACCAGAACCCTGGGACCCCTGACTCCTCGAGGCAGATGGGTGAGCACTGACCCAGCTAGCCCGAGCCACACACTCATTCTCTTCCATGCTTCCGTCGTATCTATCTCTTCTAGGCCTCGTAAGGATTCCCGCGAGGTGGAAGGCAGTTTGAGCTGATGTGGACACGCGGAGTCCATGGAAACGGATAGCAAGGCGCGCACACAGTCCATGGAAATGGATAACAAGGCGCGCACACACGGAGTCCATGGAAACGGATAGCAAGGCGCGCGCACACGGAGTCCATGGAAACGGATAACAAGGCGCGCACTAGGAGCAGGGGTGTGGTCGTGTTGCTTTTCACTATCTCTTCCCATTTGCTGGCATTTGCTCATGAGACTCTATTGAAAATGTGGCCGCATGGTCCATCCTGGCAGTGCAGGCCAAGCAAGCCAAACAAGGCTAAAAGGGAATCTATTTTTCCCTCCTGAGAGACGCTAGACAGGCTTCCGTGTTTAGCCCATGGTGACATGTCTTAAATATTTTACATTGCCTAGCTTCCTCACGCTCTGTTCTCTGTAAATCTTAACAATGACTGGCCCCGTTTGAGTCACGTGGGTATGGACTGGGCATCGGCTGAGGTGAGGCTCGGCCTGAGTCATGTGACCATCCATGGATGGAAGAGTCGTGTTGTGTTAGTGTCACGGAAGCATTCTATGTGGTAGGAGAACAGGACTGCAGGAGACTTTCTGAATGGGCAGGAGTGTGTGTGTGTGTGTGTGTGTGTGTGTGTGTGTGTGTGTGTGTGCACATGTGTTTGCATGCATGTGTGTGCATGTGTGTGCTGTTATTAAGGGGGACCAGCCATACTGGGGAGATGGAAACCTACAGGAGCCTCACAAGGACAAGAAGTTAGGCAGCTCTGACATGATTAGAAGTGCTGGTGCTGGCGACTGCCCACGAGTTCAAAAGAACAGGCCAGCCTGAGAGCCAGTCTGGATAGATGTCATCTTTAAACCCAGTTTCTCCATCACCTCAGACTTTCTTTTATTTGGTCTGGTGGAATTTAGGTTGGGCTTCTAGGAATGGGTGAAATTTAGGCAAGAAAAAGGGAAGCTGTGAGAAAGGCTGTATCAGCCTAGGGACCGTTCACCCATCAGCCCCCAGACAGAGGGACAGGCCATGGAAGGAGCCAGGGCATAGATTTAGAGAGAGTGACCTAATTCCAGGGCTGGTGATGTAATTTCAGCCAAGAGAAGCAATCCCAAGGTGAACGACTTCAAACAAACCTCATCTCCCTTTCCATTTGTTCTACTTATATTAGAAAAGTCCCAACCACATTTGTTTTCCTTTCCAAATAAGTAATCATTTCGGATTTTGCTTTCTGGAAACAGGGTCTCAGGGAGGCCAGGCTAGCTTCAGATTTCCCATGTGGCTGATGATGACTTTGAATGTCTGATGATCTCACCTCCTGATTCCTAGGGTGACAAGCGGGCACCATCATCACGCCTGGTGGCAGGTGGTGCCTGGGATCTCGCCCAGGGCTTTGGGCACGTTAGATCCCACTGAGCTGCATCCCAAGCTCCACAGCTAGGCTTGAGTTAGCATGAAGTGGTTGTCAAAACCGGTTGTTCAAAAGTGTTGGTCTCTTTCTTGGTTACAGTTTACTGCTTGTCAGAGCCTTACTCCCTAAAATCCTGAATTTACCCTTACGTTTCTGCTTCCTGTGGTTTATTCACTTGGCAAATACCTCCTAGTCCTTCAAACACAGATCAAAATTTCCTTGACTAGGAAACAAACTGTGTTGCACACATCTCCCATTTTGCAATTAGTGTAGGGGTAGGTGAGTAGGCGTATGAATGAAGACATTTCTATGTCGTGCAGGGGTGGTATTCGAGTCTTGTGCTGGTTATGAGTGCAAATATCAGAATGCTCCAAAGCAAAGTTAATTAAACAAATAGAGCTTTGCCTTTCTCACATATAGAGAAGTGTGTAAGCAGGCAAGTGTGGCATGGTTTCAGTCAGCTGGTCACGGCCCTGTCTCATGATCAGTAACTTGTACAAGGTAGGAAAAGAGGAGGGTTAATGGCACTAGCCATACAGTGGTTGTCTGGCCATGTCTAGTAGCCACCTTAGCTGCAAGGGAAGCTGGGAAGCCTGGTCTAGTAGCCACCTTAGCTGCAAGGGAAGCTGGGAAGTCAGGTCTAGTAGCCACCTTAGCTGCAAGGGAAGCTGGGAAGTCAAGTAAGTTCCTCACCTGAGAAATGTATTTGTTTGGTTGGTGGGGATGGGGCGGGGTGGGGGGGGGGCGATGGGAATACAGAACCATGCAGGATCTGGCGGCCTGCTAGGGGCCTGCTAGGCAGCCGGTCCAGTTGAAGCAGTGGGTTCCAGGTTCTGTGAGAGAGTCTGTATTAAAAATTAAGGAGAAGAGTGACAGAGGAAAATATCTGATGTAGACCTCTGACCTATATGGATGTGTGCGTGCATGTGCGTGCGTATGTGTGTGCGTGTGTACGTGTGCACGCACACTTGCTTTGAGATTACACAGACACACACACACACAGAGGCAAACACACCTGCACATACATGTACACACAAATTCAAAACCGAAGAACAGAGAAGGGAAGTAACTGTCAGCTAGGCAGCCAGTGGCACCCAGTATGGGTTTCATCTCACATTCTAAAGTTAGATTCACGGTTGGGCACTCTCTTAAGTATGATGAAGTCTGACACTATCTTAAGTATGGTAAAGGTCGAACTGAGTCATTATTGTTTACCACAAGCGTGGAATGTGTCAGAATGGTAGGGTTGACGTGTGTCTGCCATCCCGAGTCCATTGTGTTGACGGATCTGTTTCCTGGGCCATCGGAAGGATTTGATTAACAGATACTTTTATGCTTGGCTTCTACTTGGGGTTGGCTATTTGGAGGCAGAAGAGCAGAAGAGCAGAGGGTAGTTTCAGAACATTTATTCCCTGAACTCCTTTCCCGCTGGGCCACTGTGGCTTATGCTGTATGTCCCTTCAGGTAGCCTGCTGTCCCCTCTGGTCCCTTTGTTCTAGCCAAGCTGACAGTGTTTTCCCTAAACTCTACCTTTGTAAACAGTACTGAGAATAAACGAATCAAGTTACCCAGTCTAAGTTCTACGTCTTTCCTGCAGAGATCCAGACAAGAGTCTAATACTTGAGGCACTTGTGGGAGAAGGGTTTAGAATGGTTGACGGAAACCTTATTTTCCCCTGTTAGAGTTTAAGTTCTTCAAAGTGGAGAGGAGCTCAAGAGTACTTCTTCCACTCTGTGGGATATTTGACTCTTACGCCTTCTGGAATGTGCTCAAGCACATTCTTATTCACGTGCACTGACCCCTCCCACCGTAGCTGGAGTTACGACGGTGTCCGCCGAGGTGGTTCCTGTGTGTGTTCCGCTGTGAGGTGTCTTAGACAGTGATCTCTCCGGTGTCAGTCCAGATTGTATTGCCAGGTGTCTGAGAGCTGTCATTCCCAAGGGCTGTGGCTGGAAGTAGTTGTGCAAGTGTGCCAGAGAGCTAAGTGTGCTCACGCCTGGTGGGACACACTCAGTATATCCCTTGCGTTCCTCTGCTGCTCTTCTCTCCAGGCCATTGGTCTACACTTTGAAGATGGGGTGATGCGCGATTGAATTTGTCACGCGCCCACATGGGTGCTGGAGGAGGTGGGGGTGGCTATCAGGTGTCTTCGGTGTATTCGCTTCACCATCAGTGAACATGCCAGTCGCCGGGGTTCCCTGTCCAACTGCTGCTACTGGAGATCTAGGGGCCACATATGCGTTGACCACGTAACCTTGCATTGTCCAGCCTGGTAGCCACACGCCCTACGTGTCATGTGTTTTATTTTCCGTGCGTTTTATCTTGTGATCTGATCAACCCATTAGAACTTGGAAATCTTAGTAAAAGCAGCCCGACTACGGAGTTTGTTTGTTTAGCTCATGTCAGAAGGGGCAAGGTGTCGGTTTCAAGGCAATGGAAGGGCAGGGAGGTGACCTTAGGAACTGCAGACTGCGGGGACTCAAATGATGTCACGGCCACCACTTACCGTCGCCTCTGCCCTTCCTGATGACACTCCCTTCTTGAGTTTCTGGACCCTGCGTAGTGTTTACTTGTACACCGGCTTCCTCCCGGGGCAAGACCTCTGACCTCTGGAGGACTGCATGGCTGTCTCCCTCCCCTGGGTCTGTTCTCTCCTGTGGGGGAAGAGGAAGGGAGGAGTGGCGGGGGAAGGGGGCAGAGAGGAGGAAGGAGAAAGGCTTTCTAAGCCTCAGGAAACTTACAAGGCTCAGGAGGCGAGGCTCCCCTCCATCCACAAGTTGCACAGTGAGCTCCGATGACTCAGCTCTTGTGAGTCATCATCCATGCTAGGCGCTACATATATACCCGAGTTACCCCATTATTAAACTCACTGATTCGTCAAGCTGCCTTGGGAGGGACCATTCGTTTGGCTCTGTGGTTGGTGCGGTAGCTTGGGTGCATAGATATTTGTTCTCGTCTCCCAGATACAGTCTCAGAGCCATTACCACACTCACTGTTGTCATTTCCGGGGTCCCACGGCCACCCACGTGGCCATCAGCATTTAGGCAAAATGTCCAGTCATCCCAGGAGCTGGCGTTTCTGGGGTTGGCCGCGCATGCGTCATCAACATTCAGGCAAAAAATGCCTAATCATTCCAGGGACTCAAGTACATGCGCAGCGTGGCCATGTAATGTATGCGTGGCGTGGCTACGTAAGCCCCCATACGCATGCGCTAAGTGACCTTTAAAAACAGACACTCCAGACCCCACTCTCTCCACGTTTCTTCCAGACAAGCCTTGGCACAGCCCATCTCCCTACTCTTTAAAACTCTTAAGTGGGGTTTGTTGTCTATCCTGGGGTGTGTTATTGCACACAGTAAATAATACCATCGCCACGGGAAAAGCAGTTCGGATTGGGGTTTTTGTCTGGTCCTGTACCTGTCTAGATGCACCTAGAGTAGTGGTCCTCCTCTGCCTGGGGGATGGGCAGCCCCATGCTCAACCCCTTGAAGGAAGTGCTAGGTATCCAAAAGGTCCCTGGTTGAGATGCCTGAGCCAGCAGCTGGCCGCTCTACAGCCTCAAGGATCCCTTGCCTGCCTCACTGAGTCTGTCTTCCGGGTGCACCACGCTTCAGTCATTCCCGCTGGAGAAACACAGCTTGACACACGGCGCTGAGTGGTTAAGAGGGGACGCGGCCATCTTCTGCGTTTTTTTTTCCATTCCTGTGTGCTATCAGGGCCTTTCCCTCTGGTTTCTCCAGGCGTTAGGCATTTGATGGTATCTCCCACTGACTTGCTTCTAACTGCAAGGGTGGTGAATAGCAGGAGGAGAGTGCAGCCGCCTGTGGAGAGGGCTGGGGACATTCATTAATGGGAAGGACAGGACAGCATGGGGGTGATGAGGGCCAGGTGCTGGGGAGGCCGGGAGGAAGGCAGTGCAGAATGAGTCAGCCGTGCCTGCCGATGCTAAATCATTCTCTCCCTCCCTCCCTGCCTCCCTCCATCCCTGTCTTCCTCCCGCCCCCCCCATCTCTTAAATGCTATTATAAGTTGCCTTAGTCCTGGTGCTTTACTGTATCAACAGAAGAAACAACTCAGACAGGAGCAGAACGGAGAGCCGACTCCAGGCGTCCTCCTGACCAGCAGAACGTGCATGCCCTGAGGCGCCACACCCCCCTTACCCACACCTCTTCACAACCCTGGGATTCAGGGGTAAAAAGACCACACAGGCCAGCCTCACTCAGGGTTACCCTCCTGGTGACTGGACATGAGCCTGCAGTGCCTGTCCCAGACTGTCAATCCTCTTATCTGGTTGGGCAGACCCTCAGAGAGACCCACCCCTTCTTAGGTGTGACTCCCAGTGCCCCTTCCGGTTTCCTTTCTCAAGAGCCTTCCCTCTTAGGAGCCCCCCCCCCCACCCCTAGCCTCTGGCCTCACCAAGCTTGACTTGTCACCTCGTGGAGGAGGCATTTTGCACGCATGACCTGGCGGCCAGCCTATCTGGCACACTGCACTTCTAAACAAGAAGCTTGACATCCCCACTCCTGAAGTCAGAAGCGGCATGGGGAGGGGTGGCTGCCTGCAGAAGAGTCTGTGGTCCTGGTGTCTTCCACACACAGAGGCGGTGTGAGTGCTCACTGCTCAACCCGAGGTAACATGCCAGTCAATCACAGCTGACTGGCGTCCACCACCTAAGTGGTTGTGCATGCGCAATAAGGCAGACGCTGTTCCCTGAAACTGTTCATCCCTTGTCCGGGGACGCCCCAGTAATGACAGCAACCACAACTGTGTGTACACGGCAGAAACTGATGGGCTAGATGATCTTTCAGGCTCCAGAGACGCTTTTCACCGTGGGCTTTGACCTTGGAAAGTCTTGAATAAATTCCAAATTCAAGATGACATTGGTTACGAGTCTCGGATTAAACCAGACGCAATGAAAAGTCGCCGGCGGTGGTTCATAGAGCTAAGAAGGGAGGTGGACTCGAAGCCAGGTGTGTCCAAATGTCCTCGTGGTTGATTGTGTGACCTCGACGGTCACTCCACTTTCTTTTTTTTTAGGGCTAAGACTCCTCCACTGTGGGTTCTGGGCCGTGTGACCAGCTTTCCTCGAAGCCAAGCGTTACCATGACGAGGATTTTGGTCACAGGGATATAAGCCAAAGGGATCGTTTTTGTTTCATGAATTTAACACAGGCACACGCACACACACTTAAAAAAATAAAAATAAACATTACAGAATAAGGTCACAGCGGGAGGTGACCAAGTCAGGCTGAAGCCCCGGGGGACAGGTGACAATGAAGAACAGGACGCTGAGGGAAGGCTATAGAAACGCTTAGTCTCTGCTTTATTGAGTTACAACAAATGAGCAACAAGTTGGAAAAACTGCTGTTATTCAAACTCTCTAGCATTTTACTTGTGCAGTGTACTCAGGGGGGGCTGGGGGGCTGGGGGGCGGGGGAGGGGACAAGGACAGCAAACAGAATCCGTGTGGAGACGTTTATACGAGATTTATCTCTTGGCTTTCCTTTTTTAAAACTTAGGACTAACTAAAAATAAAAAGTGCACTCAGGTATCTAAAATTGGCCCGAACACACACACGCGCGTGCACGCGCACGCACACACACACACACACACACACACACACACACACACACACGGACAAAAAAGAATCAATTCCCAGTGAGGCTTCAAGCTGAAATCTGGTCAGTGCCACACCAAGAAAAGGCAGTGAGAAAAAGCCAAGAAGCCCAGAGATGTCCACCTTTATACGGGCCAGGCAGAAACACCACTCTCCACCTTTATACGGGCCAGGCAGAAACACCACTCTCCACCTTTATACGGGCCAGGCAGAAACACCACTCTCCTTGAATTTCCCAGGCATAATGATGGCGGCATCAAGTGTGGGAGCCCTTTCTGCTGGTATTTCAAAAAGATTTGTGAAGAGGGCAGCCACCCGCTCCCCGGCTATTCAAGCCGTTGAGAAGCCATGCCCACCTCTTGGCATGGGTCTGAGGCCCGGATCCCCAAAAGGCAACTGCGGGAACGGGGTGGGGAGGGTGGGGTGGAATGGGCGTGGCATGGGCGTTCATGTTTGTGATACCATTCCATATTGAGCCAGAGGACCAACCTCAGCCCTTCCCACAAAGACATCTCCCAAAGGCCAAACTACCTTGAGAAAAGAAAAAGAAAAAAAGAAAGAAAAGAAACCCTTCCTACCTAAAATCCAGTAGCTACAGTGGCATTTTAGTGCTAATGCTCCCCCCTCCCCATCAATAAAGTGAAAAGAAAAAAGAGAATATCAACGTGGTTAGTCCTCCTTCCTGGGGGAGGAGGAGAAAAAAAAGCTAACACCTTACCGCGCAAGTGCTGGAAAAGGAAGTTGCCCTCGATTAAAAAGGTAACAAAATTCCTACATTGTATAAATCGGTTCCAGTATAGCAAGAGGCGGGGCAGAGGCGGACACTATGTACAGGGACCCATTGAAAACGCAGTAGTAGGACTTTGGCACTATGAACAATTTCCACCCTGGGACCGGCTCTGAGAGCTCCGGGTCCGGGGCCTCCAGGCACAGGCCACTGAAGCACTTCCGCTCAGAGTCGCTGGTGAGGTGGCCCGCAGCCGCTGGGGCGGGGCTCGCTTCTTTCTTCAAAGACAGAGAGCGTCCTCTTTGTCAGTGCAGAAGTTCAGACCGTGCGCTAGGGAGATGACACAAACCAGAGAGATGTCAGAGAGACGGCTGGGGTGGAGGACCTCTTCCTCGTCCTCCCGCAGCTTGGGGACTCCTTCCAAAGCCATCGAGGGCCTGAAGGAGGGACGGTGCCCTTCATGGTGGGGCTTCGTTTGACTCTGCAATGCCCCCCACAGGCCCGCCTGTGTTTGAACACTTGTCCCCCGCTGGAGGTGCTATTTTGGGAAGCTGTGGATACTTTGGGAGGCGGGGCCCAATGGAAAGAACTAGTGCACAGGGATGGTTCTTGGGGGTAGATTCTCCCTGCTGCTTGCTTCCTGTCAGCCACTGGCTCCCACTAGGCTCAGTAAGGCAGCCCCAAGTCACCAAGGCCCCAACCGCTCTCAACAGTGAGCTAAAATAACTCCGGCTAAGTCATTCTCGTTAGGTATTTTACTATATTCATGCAAAGTCTGACTTACAGAGACTCAAGAGATACTGCCTTGATTTTCCTGACTTAAGGGTAAATTTAGAGCTGTGGGTGGAGGCTGACAAGGGATGTATATGTGGGGTGGGGAGGGAGGAAGGGAAAGAGAGAGAGAGAGAGAGAGAGAGAGAGAGAGAGAGAGAGAGAGAGAGAGAGAGAGAGAGGATGCACATGTGGAGGTCATAGAACGATTCGCGGGAGTCGCTTCTCTTTTTTCATCCTGGGTGTGTTCCAGGAATCAAACTCAGGCTTCACAATCACCTTTACCACCTGGAACATCGTAACCACCTTTTCTTTTAATTAATTTTTATTTAAATAAAAAAAATCTTATTTTACATACCAATCCCTGTTCCCTCTCCCTCCCTCCGCCCATTCCCCCCAGCATCCCCCATCCCACCCCCATCCACTCCTCAGGGAGGGTGAGGCCTCCCATGGGGGATCATCAAAGTCTGTCACATCATTTGGGGCAGGACCTAGGCCCTCCCCCATGCATCTAGGTTGAGAGAGTGTCCCTCCATAGGAAATGGGCCTCCAAAGCCTATTAGTGCACCACGTACCCACCTTCTTAAAATAGTTTTTAAACGTGGGTATAAGCATGCATAATCCTCTGACCATTTGTAACAATGACGATGATGATTGCCGGTGGACAGGCAAAAAGTCAGATGTGGTGATGCATTATTTATGCGTTATTAAAGCTTGCCTGAGGGTACAGAAGGCAAAGCCAGCCACGTTAGTTAGCTATAGAAGCCAGGTGGTGGTGTTACACACTTCTGATCCCACCACTGGGGCGGTAGCGGTGGCCGGATCGCTGTGAGTTCAAGGCCACACTGAACTACACAGAACTGATCCAGTCCTAAAGAGAAACAGCTCACACACAGATGATCTCAGCACCTGGGATCACACGCCTTTAATCCCAGCAGCGGGGAACGAAGAGCAAAGGGCTTCATGTGGAGATGGATTGTCTAACCACGTTGAGGAGAGGCAGCCCTCTGAGGCTTGGAGGAGAGCTCATGGAGACAGCATTGCCATTTCAGCTTGGTGGAGGTTAAGAGCTACTGGCTTGGCCGCTTTGCTTGTCTGATCTTCAGCTTGAAGCTTGGACCCCGATATCTGTCTGTGGGTCTTTTGTTTTCCAGTACAGTCAGACCCAGAAAAGGGCAGACGAAGCTTACCGCCCCCAACCCCTGCTCCTTTTCTTTCGCTGTGCACGTGGTTCCAGGCTCTGGAAGCATGTTTCATATCTCTTGGACTGTAATCTTCCTCTGCCCTTCCTGGAGGGATGTGACCCTGGTCAGGGGTCAGGCTGTGAGAGCCGGCAGAACTCCCAGTGAGGCTGGAAATGGGGCCCCTCCCTCTCTAGGGGAGTCTGCTCGTGGCCCAAGCCCCAAGGCCAGCTGGCCAGCAAGCACCTTATAGGCTAGTCTAATTTTCTCTCCAGCGCCAGGGTCCTGCTGGGTGGAAAGTGATGGAGGTTGGTGGGGGATGATGGCCCTAGCCTGTGTTTCTGCAGTCCTACTGTGTTTACATTTCAGGGAGCAGGACAGACAGAGCAAGCTCTGGACTCCATGCCCTCTTTTGACATCTGCAGCAGCCATTCGATCCTTGGCATATCCTAGCGTTAGGCTCCTGATCCGAGGCTCTGGCGCATGGGGTGTGGCCCCGCTCTCAGGTCACAGAGTGGCGGTTTTGAGCCACTCTGTCTACTCCTTTTCCTGCCTTCATTGGTTGCCGTGGGAATGAGGTCCAGTCTTCACCGGGCCTCAGGCCACACAGGAATGAGCCCTGACTTAGCTGGGGTGGATTCTCTCTGGCTTTTCTCCTTCTTTATGCTTGACCACGGGCTTCTAGTCCGTGTCCCTACCACACATGGAGTTCTCTCTCAGTGACACAGCCACGGCACCTTCTAGCATGGCTGTCACAGACCACCTTCACTTGTCCAGTCGACAGCCTGTTGGTATGAGGCAGCAGAACCATGGCCATGGTTGGCCCCAGCCACCATCTTCCTGTAGTGTCTGGGATACTCAACAGGCATTTGTTCGTGAGTGCAGCCGTTACGGTGGTGGCTGTTGTGAAGGGGGTGACAAAGTCCACATTTGAGTGTTGCTTGTTTTCTTTGTCTGTGTGGCCCTTGCCAACTCCCTAAGGAGTCTTATCACGTGGTCAGACACCACCAAGCAGACCGTGTGTGCCCCCTGGGCCGCCTCACCCCAGAGCTTTGGAGGAAACTGTCCACTAGACACATTTTCTTACAGTCTCCATTGAAAAGGCTTTACCTCTAGGATCTCCAACCTCAGCAGAAACACCTTCCAGGGACAAGGGAGCCATCTGGTCTCCCACGTCTACTTCGAGGATAATTCGCCATGTTGAAAATGGTAAATCTGGCGAAGTCTGCATCCCTAGTACTCTACAAGTTGGTGAAACACGGAAAAAACCAACAGAACCACGTGACAGCTCTTGATTTTGTTTTGTGTTTCTGTTTTCCCATTAGAACTTTCTCTCGGGCCCCAGAGGACTTGGGAGAGAATAACTCTGCACTCCATGAGAGAGATGGTGACCATCTTCCCATAACACATTCTTATCCTCTCTGTCTCTCGTCTGTCTGTCTGTCTGTCTGTCTGTCTGTCCCACCCCACTTCTTTGCTTCAGTGATAACTGGCTGCTGGCGACACTGTGAGGCTGAAGATAAAGCCCTTTGTCCTCTGTGGCTGCTGCTTTGCAAATGTCCACGAATGACCTATCTTTTTATCACATTCCAAGGTGGGGTGGAGGATGAAAGCTCTCCTGCATCTGGTTCTGTTTCCTCTCAAAGTCCTTCCCATCACTTGGTCCAGCTTCCTCTGAGCGGTGCCTGGTTCTACACAGATGCTCTCAGAGGCCCATGTGACAGTCCTCATTTGCGGTGGTTTGGATGAAAACGGCCTTCACAGCCCACAGGAGAAGCACTATCAACTATCAGGAGGTGTGGCCTCGTTGGAGTGGGTGTGGCCTCGTTGGAGTGGGTGTGGCCTCGTTGGAGTGGGTGTGGCCTTGTTGAGGGCGGGCTTTGCGGTTTCAGAAGCTCAAGCCAGGCTCAGTGGCTCATTTGCTCGTCCTGCCTCTCCAGATGTAGAACTCTCAGCCACTCTCCAGAACCATGTCTGCCTGTGTGCCTCCGTGCTCCCCGCCATGCTGATAATGAACGAAGCCTCTGAACTGTAGGCCAGCCCCAGTTAAAAGTTTTCCTTTATGAGAGCTGCCGTGGTCATGGTGTCTCTCCATAGCAATAGAAACCCTAACTAAGACATTATCCAAGCCAGTGCCAACCCCATGTGAACACATCTGTTAAGGCAAGATGCTTCATTGGGAGGATGAAGGGGAAATACAATCACTGGGCTCTTATCTGAAGCTGAGAATTACATCTCTTAGACTCCAAAGGATAAACATCTTAGGGCCATGAAGCCACGTAGGGTGCGACTCTTTCGCCAGTGAGGGAGCCTTGTGTCCAGCAAGCCCAGGGTTCATATCAGACCCGCACTGGGGCGAGTTAAAATTCCTGTCCTACAGATGTGCCACACATCCTGATTCCAGCAGCACGAGGCCCTGGAGTCTGGTTTTTACCTTTCACCCGGTAATGTTTTGTGTAGATAGGCCATGCAAGCCAACTGCTTACTCACTGAAGACTGGTTCTCTGCTATTTTATCCTATTGTCATCCGGTCTCTGGTACTGTTGGGAAGAAATCTGCTTCCAGATTAACTGCAGTTCCTTTGTAGGCAGTTGTTAGGTTTTGGATGGGAGTAGGTTCAAGAGGATACAGAGGTAGATGATGGGGAATAAGGGTATATTAGAAGAGTTTTTAGTAGCCATGGACAGGCAAACAGAAAGGCAACAGCACAGCATAGATTCTGAGGATAGTTCAGGCCCCAACAACAGAGACGGACAGCATGGTCAGGGCTCTGAAGAGAATCAGAGTCCGTGTGCAGAAGGAGGGAGTCCCTTCTTACAGCCTTGAAGATGGGGATGCCACCACACTGGTTCCCAGACAGAGGCATGCACGGGTGTGGAGAGCAGCATATGTTGCTCTGATGAAATCTGATTTCCTAGCTGGGAGATCCTGACACTGGCCTGTCCATTATTTAGGGACTCACAGACAATGCAGGATGCCGGTTGCTGTCTGTGGGCGTGAGAGCGGTGACTGCTGCAGATACTGTGACCTAAACTAGATTTTAACGTGACATTCTCACAATAATCTCCCCCCACGGGGTGCCCACTTTACCAGCATCCAAAAATCTCACACAACAGTGTCCAAAATCTGATGACTTTGGACATGTTTATGATAGTATCATCCCATATAATAAAGAGCATATTTGGCACCTTCCAAAATGTTCCCTGTTGTGGTGGTTTGAAAAGGCGTGGCCCTATAGACTCATGTGCTTGAATGCTTGGCCCACAGGGATTGGCACTGTTAGGAGGTGTGGCCTTGCTGGAGTAGGTGTGGCCTTGCTGGACTAGGTGTGGCCTTGCTGGACTAGGTGTGGCCTTGCTGGAGGAAGTTTCCCCCTGT